CGCCCTCGCCTCTTGTCTCCTTACCTTCTCTGTTTCTATCATGTTCGCGATGCAAACCCTCCATCCAAACTTCCTTACGTAGTTCGACAACTTCTCGATGTCAACCCCCAAGCACTCTTGGCTGTCTCCCTTGCTTGGTCAATTTCTCCCGGAAGTGGTCATGCTCTCTGCCTACTTGTCCCCTTGCTAGACAGTGCAGTCCCTCCCTGTCACAACAGTTCTTGAACTCTATCCTCGTCATGTCCCTTGGAATCCCAAACAGCAGCAGCTCCAACCTGTCTCCCTTCCACAGTTTCTGTTATGGAAATACTTGACTTTGTCCTGTACTAGTCAATGTTCAGTAGTAGCATTGCTCTCTATCGTCGATCATGCATCGTAGATACTATATGTTTTGGTTCATACGTAACGCATCTGTATGCGGAGGAATTACTGCTGCAGCAATCTCTGCTCGAGGGATCGCGTGTCTCTCACTCCAGCACGGATCTCTCGCATGGATCTCTCGCATGGACTTCTCTGGATAGTCTAGTCATTTCTAGGAACTGCCGTCATCTGGACCTCTGCGTTCTCTGTGGATCTAGCAGTGTGTTGGCCAACTAAGTGCCAATCTTTAACATATCTTCACGTCTCTACACAGCACAAGAAGTACCCTACTTCTTCAACCGCTCGTGGTGCCAACCATCTCGAGTACCATCGAGAGGCACATGCCTTGCCCACATGTCAAGGGTATCTCAGACGATATTCACAACAGTTTCTGCTTCCATCCTCCCGGATTCTTCACCATCCTCATGATCTCTACGGCAACTGGACCGTGGCCACTTGTTTTTCGTGTTTTTTCAGGAAGGTATACGGAATACTCGGCCTTCCCAATCCGAATGTCCGGCGGGGGTTGTGGTTCCTTTCAGTTCTTTTGCCGGATCATCGACGCTAAATAGCACCTTCAACATAGGCTCGTTGNGATCTCTACGGCAACTGGACCGTGGCCACTTGTTTTTCGTGTTTTTCAGTTCGTGTTTTTCAGGAAGGTAC